TCTCATTGAACTGGAAAAATTTCTGTCTTTATTACATTAATAATACGAAGAAATCAGTCTCCACTGTATTCGGCTAGAGATGGTTCGGTTAAGCTTTTGTTTAAGTAAAATTTCGGCTCTTTCATCAGGGTTTTGTTTATGTCCCCAATTCCCTAATCGCTTAATTATTTAACTACTTCTTAAGTAGAAATAAGTCGAAACCGGTTACTCTGTACTCGAATATTTGTAGTCTCGGGAAAAAGTGGAAAGAAATTTTTATGACAAACGGATACATAAATCGTAAATTTAAGGAAAATAAATTCTAGAGCTTTTCTGTACCTCGTGCATCTCTCTCGTTCATTAAATTTAGTTGTAAATGATACTACCAAAGTAACAGTTAATTTTTTTAACATTAATTAAACAAGAATTGTACACGTTTTTTTCTACATCCCCTTAGAGATGGGACATACGAAATCGTAATATCACTGGTTTAACATTGAAATCCGTGAATAATATAAAATCGGAGAGCGGANTTAATTAAACAAGAATTGTACACGTTTTTTTCTACATCCCCTTAGAGATGGGACATACGAAATCGTAATATCACTGGTTTAACATTGAAATCCGTGAATAATATAAAATCGGAGAGCGGAATAAATACAGTAGAGCATCGATTATCCGACTCAATTGGGAACTGGGGTTGGTCGGATAACTGAAAAAACGGATAACCAAAAAGTATGAAAAAATACATTATTAGTTAGTACAGTAGAGCGTCGTTTATCCGAATCAATTGGGACTGGGTTGTTCGGATAACTTATTTTTCGGATAACCGATTATATACGAAAAAATATATTAACCTATCCTGTGTCGAAATTTTTCTCCGTTAAGTGTCGCAATGAGGTGAATTTTCGTCGATATTAAGCCTAACGTATACTTTTTAAAATAATCGTGGCTATTGTATCGTTAAAAATTATTTCTTTATTTCTTACAAAATAAATATTGAAAAATATAAAAATCAAAAAATATATACTTTAGAAATGATCTAGTATTAAAAACGTTCGATTCAGCCCAACACACAGTCCTCAGAAAAACACTAAACAAAAGTACCAGTGCTGCCAGCTAAAAAACACACACCAACGAAAGAAAATATTGGGATAGCCCAAGATATAGCCAAAGATTGCAGCGCCACAGCACTAGCGAAAATTTTAATTTGCTGACTGGAATGCTTTCGGATAAACGACGCTCTACTGTATATTATTATATCTCATGTAATTAGTATATCGCTATTAACGTACTTCGCGTTGAATTCTCATAGATGTTAAGCCTAACAACTTTTTTTTAAAATAATCGTCACTACTGTGTCGTTAAAAATTATTTTATTGCTTACACAACGAACAACCACTCATAATTAGAAAATTAAGCCTCGTTTAAATACTGGCATCCCTTTCATGGTCGAGCCAGTGTTGCCAGCTAAAACACCAAATATTTAACGAAAATAATATTAAAGGAGCCAAGACATAGCCAAATATTATAGCGCCGCATCACCAGCGGACATTTGAATTTGCCGACTAGAACACGGTCGGTTAATCGATATGACGGTTGATCGGGGGTCGGATAATCGATGCTCTACTGTATATCAAATATTTTAACGGATTTTTTTAAACTCCTGTCAACTAAACAGAACTATCATAAAAACATACTAGTAAATTCTTATCGGTTGGCACATGTATTTGTAAAATCTAAGTGGCTCGAACGACATGGAATTCATATAAAACAGAATAATCAACAGTGTTATATGCGGGGTCGACTGTATACAGAAAACTATCATAAAAACATACAGGTAGTCTTATCAGTTGGGTTAAGTTATAAATTTACTCGTGATTCACGTAATCGGGCGGGCGGCTAACAGCCTGGATCCAGTCCTGGATAGAATTGGATGCGGTATACGTGCAGCATCCACCCAAGGTTACATCACCAACCTTACCTGGTTTAGCTTCCACCAGCTAACCGATAAGATTGGTGCTCTGTAGAGCGCATGCGCGAATCTGGCTTTTTGGATGCTGACGACACAGCGCTTCCACTCCGCCACTAATATTCGAATATATAATAGCAATCTTTTCTTTTCACGTGTAGTATAAAAATTTATAATAAGATACATAATGCGGTTATAATAAAATATTGTGTGATTATTTTCATATAATTAAAATCAATATGTATTTATTTTTTTAGAAAATACAAGGGAAGCGGCGCATCCATCGCTTCTATTGACGGCACACCACTGCAATAAATACTTTTATTGATTAGAAATTTGATTAGAAGTTTCTAATAATTTGAATATTTATATCAAGCACAGATAATAAAAGTTTTTTGGGTAATTTGGCCAGAAAAAGTTTAATTTGAAATTTTCTTGATGAATCTTCTTATCAATTTGTCTAGTTTAAACTGTTTATAATCGAAGAGGCAATGGAAAAAAGGCATAAAACGGCTACGATATTATCAGGTGATGTGAACTCTTCTATTCCTAAAATGGCGGTGGTCAAAGTGACAGCAGTCAAGGTTGCAAAAATTACATATTTGGCTAGGTCGTTATTCCATTTCTGTAAGAAAGATTAATAGAAGTATTTTAAAAAAATTTATATATTTTTCACTTACTAAGAGTATTTACCTACTTTGTTTTCTTCCTTGTCCTCCTACAGCTGGCAGATTAATTAATAGAAGTAGTTAATAAAATTTTATATATTTTTCACTTTCCCGAGACTCCACTACCGTAAAAACGGCGCGAAACCCCTCACCGTAAAAGCTTTTAATCACGTGACCCTGATATTTTACGCCTGAGCAGGTCGTAAAATATCGGGGTCACGTGATTAAAAGCTTTTACGGTGAGGGGTTTCACGCCGTTTTTACGGTAGTGGAGACTCGGCCTAAAAGTATTAGCTACTTCCATAGTTTGGTTACCCTCTTGGTGCTGGAAGATTAATAGAAGTATTTAATTAATTAATAAAAATTTAAATATTTCCATTATCTAACAGTATTACCTACCATTTCTATCTGATGTTTCTGTTTTATATGGTACTCCAAACTGTTCTCGTGTTTATATTTCATAGGACAAAATTCGCATCGGCAGTTTTGATCTTTTGAATGGGATATGAGATGTTCATCAAGTTGAGATTTGCATCGAAAGACTTTACTGCAATAAGGACAAACGTAGCTATTCGTATTTTTCATTCCTATTAAATAAGTAAGAATATATTACAGTGGCGTGCCATCATTGGAAGCGGTGGATGCGCCGCTTCCCTCGTATTTTCTAAAAAATAAATACATATTGATTTTAATTATATGAAAATAATCACACAATAGATCACAAAAATAATCACACAAGAGTTGTTTGTATATAATCACACAATATTTTATTATAATCGCATTATGTATCTTATTACAAATTTCTATACTACACGTGAAAAGAAAATATTGCTATATATTAGAATATTAGTGGCGGAGTGGAAGCGCTGTATCGTCAGCATCCAAAAAGCCAGATTCGCGCATGTACTTTACAGAGTACCAACCTCACCCGGTTTAGCCGGTGGAAGCCTAGTTTAGACAGAGTATAGTTCTAACCTAAGTTGATAGTTTTAAATTAAACGCATTTTCTATGCACGAGATGGATATTTAAAATAAAATTTTTAATAAGAAAAAACTTTTCAAAAGTAAAATATAACCACACTGAAGCTAAACCAAATGAGCCTGCATTATCCGGAGTAGAAATCGTATTTGTCTCAAACAACAATAAGCAGGAAAGTAAGAAAAAGTACGGTTATAAACAATATTCACTAGTTTTACATCTACAGACTAACCATCTTCAGCTTTTCGAACATCCAAAGAATTCAACGCGTTTTGTATCTAACACTTAGTCCAAGTGAATAGACACACATACGTACGGGGTTATCGCACCAGTGAATGAGATTTATTCACAAATTCTATAATGATTATTAACACCTTAATACTAAAACTGTACAATAAATTATGGCTGTTTAAATATGTACAGTATATAATAAAGAACACAAAACGCATTTCTGACACAATGAATGAATCTCTTCAGTCGGTGCTCCTAACATACATTATAAAATACATTAAAATTTTATGTTTAAAATGGCTTTTTAATGTATTTTATGATTTATTTAAACAGCCATAGTTTATTGTATAGTTTTAGTATTAAGGTGTTAATAATCATTAAAGAATTTGTGAATAAATCTCATTCACTGGTGTGATAAGCCCGTATGCATGTGTGTACATTCACTTAGACCAGTGTTTCTCAACGGGGAGATATCGCCCCCGTATGTGGGCGTTTTTCCATGTTGAGGGGGCGATTAGTAACAATTTATATTTTGGGGGCGAAAAACAATTTTCTCGGCGATATACTAAAACATAATATTAAGAATAATTAGATATTTTATTCGTTATATCGTACAATAATTAAACAAATAACATTATACTAGTCACTAGTCTATTCAATGTAGTACGAATTTGGCCTTAGCCTTGAGCATCGGAATTTTGAAGTGAAGGGGGCGATACTACGTTAAAGGGGGCGACGATTCGTTAGAGATTGAGAAACACTGACTTAGACTAAATGTTATATCGCTTTTTGCTAGTGATGTAACGAATATTCGGTTACTATTCGGTATTCGGCCTATTTTTCGCTATTCGGCCGAATACCTAAAAACAGGAGTAAGAAATAACAAAAACACTGTAAATTAATCATTTTGGTATTTATATTTAATGTTGTCGGGCTAGTGTTGTTTGCTTATATTTATTTACTAGCAGACCCCACCACGCGTTGTTGTGGCTCAAAATGTATCTATTATAAATGTATAACACTTCCCCCGTGGGGGGATTTTTCGAAAAATTTCTTCTTAGTGTACATTCTGTTGACGTACCCTATTAAAACGCAATAAAAAACGCAAAAAACCGCATCTAAAATAGTATAAATAGAAGCAGAGTTCTTTAAGCCTTAATCCTAACCATCTCCCCCAGTGGGGGAATTTCGACATGTATATTATATAAAAACACGTGCGTATTCGAATGCAGCGTTGTGTCAAAATTTCAAAGGAATCGGTAGGAACAAACGAACATTAAATTTTTATTTATATAGATAGATAGATGATGATCTGCTTTAGTTCATTTTCACAGAAAAGCATAATGCCTCACAGGAAAGCAAACTTAGGGCGTCGTACTCGTAGCGCCATCTGTTGGACATAAAAGCCTTAACCTAGATTATATCTTTTAATTTATATCAGGGGTGTCCAACCTTTTTGTTTCTCTGGGCCACATTGAAAGAAGTCAAGGAGTTTTGGGCCAACAGCAGTAGCGTAGCGTAGGGGGGCGGCAGGGGCGGCCCGCCCCGGGCGGCACTTTTCAGGGTACAGCAAAATTTCACAATAAATAATAATAATATCTTGTAAGAATTTGAACCATTTTATTTCATATTTTCGTCCACCTACGACTCGGACTGATTGAAATGAGCACGGCAATAGTGTTACCATCTATCCCGATAGTCCGCGGATACGCGCAACCTGTTGACTTTTTTATTTTTGTTTTTTGTTTTTTTTTCTTTGATTGTGCGATTCATTTGTAATCATATATACCTCCAATATCCAATAGGGCTAGGTCACTTGCGTTACTCCTATCCAAGTCTCCCTAGTCGCTAACTGTAACTGATTTAGAACCGGCATGCACTGAAAATTATTCTTCGCATTGCAAAATGATATATGCATGCGTCAGGAACTTCTGTTCGAACAAACCTCACTCGCCGTCCGGGTCGGCGATTTTAAAAAGGTGGCAACACTAGCATGGAATTTTTCATTACTTATTCTGTGACAAAACTAAATTTTAGTCTTTTAAATTGAGATACCTAAATAAGGGGGTGGTGAAATTTTCTTCTGCCCCGGGGCGGCTGACACCCACGCTACACCACTGGCCACAAGTACTGTACATATAATATATACTTGTGGTTCAATATACAAGTATATTTAACCCCTTCATTCCCGATCATTAATTAAATTAATATTAAAATACATTAAAAATACTTGAAACCGAAAAAAAACGAAAGAAATGCGTTAATTTTGAAGAAAAAGCTTCAAATTTTGTTTTCCTTTGTCTTGCCTTTCTGTGAAATTTAACACAGATGAGTCATTGTTTACACAGCTGGGTGACCTTGAATACAAAACAGCTGGAGTTAGATTTCCCGGGACATTCTCATATATGCCGCGGCAGGTCAAGGGTTTAAAGCAGGGTGAATATGAGCGACGCTTATATTTTTTAACATTTTTAAAAAATTAAAAATTTTATTGCGATTTCTGACCCCCTAATTAATTAAATTTATATTAAAAAATCGATTAATTTAAAAAATTAAAAAACTATCGAAGGTTGTTTTTGACATCAGAAACCAGCTTTAAATAACTTTAACGAAGAAAAATCCGTGCACTACACCTTAGGAACCATGAAATAAATTTGATAAAAAACTCCCATTATAAAACAATTGAGCTTTAATCGAGCCTTATTAAAGGCTAATTAAAATCGCGATAAAATTTTTTCGCGCGGGCAAAAAATTTTGAAAAAATTTGGGGACCTAAAAAACATTCCAAAAATTCAAAAAAATAATTTTAAAAATGGCCTTAAGGATCACGTTTTTCGTAAGGCTATGTAGGCTTGACGAGTTATCTCGTCAATGGGAACTTTCAATTTCTACTTAGAAATAGACAAATTCATTTATTATAAAGGAGAAAAAAATTTATTTGAAAAACACAAATATTTGTTTTATTTGAGTCTCTAATTAATAAAAAGCAACAAAATACCATTTTAAAGTGCATTTTTATTCAACTAATATAAATAATATGTAGCCCAAAAGTAGCCAAGTGCCAAATGATATTTTTTTACATCAAACAAAAAAAGTAGCCACATTTGGCGCGATGTAGCCAAATCTTGCAACGTTGGAAAAAATACTAAATAAAGTTGGAGTTGTGAATCAAAGGATTATAGACCCAAGTGCAAGGAAAAAAGAGAAAGGACAAAAGATAAAATAGTTAAAAAGGTTGGAAAATTAAGGGTCAACAGAAAATCTATTTAGCCTTTCTCACTATTACATCTTTTCTTTTTTTCAACTTTCCCTCCTTTTCCCAAACTTGGGTTTATAATCCTTTGAGTCACAACTCCAGCTTTATTTAGTAATCCTTCCTCATTCACACTTTTCCAAGTATTTGAAAATATTTCCTTTCCACTCAAGAATAAAATACGAATAAAGGTTTACGGCTTTGTGAAACTTCTTTTTTGAGTTTATGCCGTTGAAATAGATAAATAATAAAAAAATTAAAACATTTTGTCGGTTTTGTTTACACGTTTGTTGGGCCACATTGGAACTTGCCTTGGGCCGCATGCGGCCCGCGGGCCGCGGGTTGGACACCCCTGATTTATATGAATGTTTAACGGAATAATATACAGCCTATGTCCACCCTGAAGTTCCATTCTAAATATCGGTGAAAGAATTTTTAAAATCGGATGAGTAGTTTCGGAGATTACCTGCTGCATACAAACTTACATACTTACAAACATTACCTCTTTATAATATTAGTATAGATAACTTATAACATGCACAAAATAATAAAAAATAATAATATTAGTCATATGTATTCATAATTTATAATTACGAAGATCAGCACACATACACACCTATTCGTTCGAGAATCGTCGCACACGTGAGGATCTGACCCTCCTATCCTTTTTAAGCGCTCGTCTTTGCTCTTTCCTTTCTCTTTCCTCCATCTCTCTAGTCCACGTATGCCTATGCATACATCATAACACGCGCTCACGATACTTTTGATTCGTCACTTTTACGTCGTAGTTTTTCCATTTTATAATTACGTGACTCATAGCCTGGTGATAACGGAGAAAAGAGAAAGATAGGACGTCGGTATATGTCAGTTATGATTTCACAGATTCGAGACAGCTTGGTAGCCCGAACTTTCGCCCGTGCACGCTAAGTGACTTTCATTACAAGCATTTAGCTTTCCGAAGTCTATGACAACAATTGTTTGGCATTGACGGCCGCAAATTTCGCGCCAATAAGCTTCGACTTATTCGATTATGTTATCAACTCAATTTCATATTTATTTTCACATTTTCACTTCGCGGTCCTTCTCTGTTTTTTTTTTTCCGTTATTTACACGTGTAGGTCATTTCATTGTTATTCACATTTGATATCATCATTTATCGCATACTGCCATGACGCTCGTCTATCCGCTACAAATGTCAAGAATTAACGCGATTGGTGAAGCGTAGTGACAGTGGGCCAATAGAGAGCAGGGTCTTTGCCATAATGAGGTTTGCGCGCAATTTTCGTATGTGCGTTAATCATGCCGAATAGTTTGGCCGAATATTCGGCTATTCGGCCTGAGACCGAATATACTATTCGTTGCAACACTACTTTTTGCCTTTAATGCTATTTATTATTCCATTGCCTTTTGTATTATTGCCCTTACATAACAAGTCCTTAAATAAAAGAAAACTTCACGTAAACATTTTCTACAACTTATTTAGAAATTAATGGAAAAAGTTTAAATCATTGTTCCCTTCGACTCACTTTTACCGGGAATTCTTTCGTTATTTGAAAGGTTTTTCTCTCGTCCACTTAGATCGCTAGTTTCAGCCGCCATCTTGGATTGTCGTTACATCTTCAGAATTCCGAAGAATTATTTTTCACACTGACATAAGTTGTCAGTGTGAAAAATAAATAAATACACCGAATTAACTTAATTTCAATAACGCCCAACCATCCTTACCGGGCCATCCAACTTCCAGCAGATTTTTGGTCAATCCCGAATCTCAACATGGCGGTCGAATCACGACGACGTTCTTTTCCAACCGTCGTCTTCTAACTTTTCTGTTCGATCCTGAACGAAGCCTTAAAAATGTGGGATTAAAACAATAAAACAAAAGAAAGTTACACGATGGACGACTTTCGAACAGTTTCCTATCTTGCCTCTTCGTTCCCAGGATACGACTCTTCTTCTCCGCTTTCCTTTTTCCCGCTCTCCTCTTCGCCGTCCTGCGGATGTTGTCTTTTTAAAATAATCTCGTTTTTACACTTGTAACTTATGAAGCAGAAACGAGTTTTTTCGGGTAACATTTCTTACGTTATTAAAAGTGTTGGCTTATCTGAACAAAATTTGGATTCCAATCAATATTTATAATAAAAAATATGCTTTATCTTTTCTCTACTTTAATTCTGCACTTTGTAACGGTACTGTCAATTTGAGCATGGTCTTTAAACACAAGATCGTGTAGACCAATGACGTGTTTATCTGCTTATGATCAATAAGCGCCACCGGAATTGATCACTTGCAATTTTAGGATACGCCACCCGTTATCAAAGAGTTTTAGCCGGAGATTCTTAGTAGAGCCGTCATTTACCCCACTGCTATTGACAAGCTATTAATCTAAATATATTAAATTACATGTCCTGACTGACTGACTGAGTGACTGATTGATTCATCATCGCCCAGAGCAAACCGCTGAATCTAAAGAACAGTTAGGGTACATCACGAAAATGCACATTAAAAAGTCTTCAGAACGAAGATTTTTTAAAATGATTCTGAAGATTTTTAACGGAGTGATTTCTTTTCGTTAAAAAGAAATCTCCAAAAGACTTCTTTTGGCCCGACAAAGCTTCGTCTCACCATGCAAATTCGATCGTGGAGTTCCTCAAAGCCTTTTGCAAACCCAAAGAACATAATCCGTCAAATCTGCCAGAATGCCGGCCAATCGAGAATTTCTTTGGATATTTAGCACAAAGAGAAATGTTGGCGAGCGAAAAATATCACACGATTGATCAACAATCTAAATCATTCCACAGAACAATTTAAAATAATCACACCTTTCTGCCTATTGAGATTCGTTTAATTTTGGCAAACGTTTTCAACCTATTAAATAGGCCATTTTGCTTGGAGCATCTTCTTCTCTCTGGCCCTCATAATGCTTGAAGGATCTTGGCCTCATCCAGGATTTTCACCCATTCCTCTCTATCTTGAGCGTTCCTTCTCCAGCAGCTCACACCCATCCTTCTCAAATCAGCCTCCACATCACATCCTCATCCCATCTTTTTTGTCTCCCTCTCAACCTTCTTTCCTTTGGTCTTTCTCTATACACTTGATACATCTGTCTCCATTTTTCCAAATGCCCAATCCATCGAAATGTCTCTCTTTTGATTTCTGTCACAATATCAGAATTTTCATATAAATCTTCAAGTTCCTTATTACTTCTTATTCTCCACTCTTCCCCCTCTTGTGCTGGCCCATATATTCTTCTCAAAATCTTCCTCTCAAATCGTCTCAACTGTTCTTCATGTTTACTTGTCAGTATCCAAGCCTCGGAGCCATACATGATTACTGGTCTTATAATAGTTTTATATATTCTGATCTTACTGCATCTTGATATTTCTTTAGACGTTAGAAATCGTCTTAAAGTATAATAGCTTCTATTTTCTGCTGTCACTCTTGCCTTTATTTCTTCATCAATTTCGTTCTTTTCTGTTAGTTGAGTTCCTAAGTATTGAAATTTATTCATCTGTTCAAGTTTATGGTCCTTTATATATATAGAATTTGCCCACTTGGCCCCTGCAATCTTTTCTAATTAACTTCATATATTTTGTTTTTTCATCATTAACCGTTAGGCCTTTATCTATTGCTACTTCATCCATTATTTTAAATTCTCTTCGATTACCTCTTTAGATCTTCCCAATATAACTATATCATCCACAAATGCTAAGCACTGTAAACGTTTCTTAAAAAAATCGTTCCTCTTTCATCTACATCCATTTCCTCATATACTTTTCTCATTACCACTTCTAACACTAAGTTAAATAAAACTGTAGAAAGTGCATCTTCCTGTTTCAATCCTTTCTATATTGCAAATACTCTTGACATATATCCTTGGATCTTAACTCTGCCTTCTGTCTTCTCTAAAGTTAACTTTGTTATATTTATAAGTTTTTGAGGTATTCCGAATTCCTGGAGACTCCCAAACTTTTTCTCTTCTAATACTATCATAAGCATTTTTGAAGTCGATAAAAAGTTGGTGTATTTCAATATTATACTCGTAGCATTTCTCCAGAATTAACCTTATTGTGGAGATTTGATCTATAGTTGTTCTGTTATTACGAAAACCATGCTGATAATCTCCCACTATATTTTCCATGTATACTGCTAACCTCTTTGCTAATATTTTTGAAAAAATTTTAAAAACTACATTCAATAGTTCTGTAGTTACCACAATCTAGTTTGTCTCCTTTTTTGTGTAGTGGGCATATTATTCCTCTATTTCAACCCTGTGGTATCTGTTCACTTTTCCAGATTTTCTTAAAGAGTTTGCCTATTTCTAGTTCCAATTTCACACCATCTGCTTTTATCATTTCCGATACTATTCCATCCTCCCCAGGAGCCTTGTTGTTTTTTAGAGTTGTTATTGTCCATCTCAATTCGATTGGTCTTGGATATTCACATCCCCCATTCTCATATTCTTCTCCTTTTTCCTCAGAATCTACCTCTGAGGCTTCTTCGTCTATTTTTGTTTCCGTTTGACCCCCCTATAGATTCTACTCCATCATTTAATAGTATTTCAAAATATTCAGCCCATCTATCTAGAATTTCATTTTTCTCACCAATTAATTCTCCTTCTTTCCCTTTACAGAAATCAATTTTTGGTTGAAATTCTTTCTTCTCTTCTCTAACCTCCATATAGAATTTTCTTATTTCATTAGTTCTTCTATTTTCTTCCATTTCTTTTAGCTTTTCATTTATCAATTCTATTTTTTTTCTTCCTACACAATTTAGATACCAACCTTCTCTTTTCTTTGAAGTCTTCAATATTATTTTCAGACTCATTTTGAATCATCTTTAACCTCGCATTTCTTCTTTCTTCTAATGCATCTCTACAATCCATATCAAACCAACTATTTCTCCTTCTTTTTCTACTACTTCCAAGTACTCCTGCTGCAGTTGCGATGACACTTGATCTTATATCTTCCCACCGTTCTTCAATGTTTCTTGGTCTCTGTCTCCTTTCCTTTGCCTTCATCAGGTTTTGTTCAAGCCCTCGTTGATATTTAATTTTAATTTCTTTCTGCTTTAGAGATTCGACTTCACATCTTATAGCACTTTTTGCCCTTCCACTTCTTGATTTGATTGATATTTTTTGTCTATAGTTTGCCCTCACCAAGTAGTGATCTGTACTACAATCGGCCCTTCTGTAAGATCTTGCATCCGTAATATCAGTAGCACGCCTTCTATCGATAAGTATATGGTCTATTGGGTTAACAGTATTACCATCCGGTGAAATCCATGTACCTAAATGTATTCTTTTATGAGGAAACACTGTTGTTGCAACCACCATATTATGTCCTGAAGCAAGGTCCACTACTCGTTTACCATTGTCATTACTATTTTCATGAATGTTATTTCTTCCGATGACTCCTTGATACACTTTTTCTCTTCCTACCTTAGCATTCCAATTCCCTAGTATTAGTTTAACATCATGTTTTGGGTACTATCCCCAGGACTTCCTCTAACTGACTATAAAATTCATTCTTTACCTCTTCCCTCTTCTCCTCAGTCGGTGCACGCACACTAATCATTGTGATGTTAAAAAATCTTGGAACATTTTTACCGTTAAATATCGTTCCAAAATAGAATACATAAATAAAATACAGTACAGGAATAACAACGTTTAAATATTTGAATATAAAGCAACCAAAAATAACTAATAACTAAAAATTAACAAAAATGATGAATAACAGTAAAATACAAAATAAATAACTAAAAAAATATACAAAATTATATATATAGTAGAAAATTAGGAGTTTCTAACAAACTTATTCTGTACAGTACAATGTATTTTCTTGCTGCTAAGCTGTCTGCATCTGTAGAATTAAACGCGGCAGCGTTAAACGTGGTCTTACTGTACAGTATTAGTCGTTGCGAGAGAGCGCTATAAAGTAATGAAAAATCTGTNATGATGAATAACAGTAAAATACAAAATAAATAACTAAAAAAATATACAAAATTATATATATAGTAGAAAATGAGGTAATTAGGAGTTTCTAACAAACTTATTTTGTACAATGTATTTCCATGTTGTTAGCAACAGCATGAAAATACATTGTACATTCCTAGATTCGAGTATAGACAACAAAATTCCTGTGCTTTGTCAACGCCTCTCTGAAGATGGCCTATTTAATAGGTTGAAAACGTTTGCGAAAATTAAACCAATCTCAGCAGCCAAGAAAGGTGTTTAGTGATATATTTTAAATTGTTCTTCTGAACATGATTTATACTATTGATTAATATGGAGGCACCGACGAAACATTATACGAGGTATAGAAAGTAAACAATGAAGTTTGTAAAGACAACATCAAATTGGAGTTTCTAAAGGAATGCATGAATATCGAGGTATTTCCCATGTCGATATATAGAATTAGCGTTTCAAAATAATGTGCTTCAGTGGTGTGAAGGATACGCATGACGTGCCTATGTAAATCGGCCAGAATTACAAGAGACAAGAAGTTTGGAATTTTAAAAGATATTAACTTAGAGAATATGATATATAGAGAAGACTAAGCTGTTAAATGAAATTAATGAAAAAGTAATCAAGTTAACTATACAATACGTACAAATCTTAAGAAAAGATATGTCAAGATAATGAAATGGATGGTGAATAAGCACATACTAGGAATAAGGAAAAGGAATAAATCACTATTCATCTTATGGGATCAAGTGGAAGTTCCGAATTAAAGTTAGGGAGTTCCTCGAAAAAAGCCCGAACTTTGTCCAACTAAGGACGACCTAGGTTTTGAAGCAATGAAAATGAATAGAAACCTTGTCTTATATGCGAGTGAATACGGTAATTTAACAAATTATATTTTAAAATGTTAATAACTATTTCAAAATAATTTACTTTGTCATTACTATTAAAGAAATGGAAAACTAAAATTTGAAATTAAGACTGAAGTAATCATTAAAAATG